AAATGTCCGTATTGAAATCTGATAATAATAATAATAATAATAATACATAGCCTACATAAACGCGTAATAAATTATTATATATATAGGCTAATATATTATTATTATTACACGATTTTTTTTATTAAACGAGAGGCAGATCATATTAAAACAATTTATTTTCAGTGGTAAACATTTCACGTGTTTGTTGTTGATGCTTTGTATTTACATTTGATTCCTAAATGCTCTTATGATTACAAAGTTTACACGTTTCGGGAAAAGCCTTCACCACCGAAAAATCGCAATAAACAATGTTGCGTCGCGTTCTTTATTGCGTCTGACAGCTTTAGTGAAATAACTATATAGCCTAAACCTAGGCCTATTAATGCAGAGACTTCACGTGTGCGTGTCAGTCGACTGAATGTTTAACTTGAGCTTCCGAGACGCGGATACCCAGGACAGATATAATTGTTTGTTTAATTTGTATCTGATGCATGGAGCCATGTCCGCGTTCACTAATTACAGTCCAGGTTTTGATTTGTGGCAATCAGGCTTGTTTAATCTCCTAAATCCAGGATCAAAATGAATCAGTTCCGCCTTTTCCATGAGCTACAGCACCAAGTGCCACTGGGGCCTGTATGCTGCAGTGTGCGCAACCAATGCGCAGCGCATTTCCTCGCGTTGAGGGGCAATTACTCCCCATATTGAATGCGGAGTGGCTCAGTGGGATTACAGAAGTGGACACCCACATGGCCAGAGGGATTTTGTGTGTGTGTGTGTGTGTGTTTGCAGCATGCGCACTCACTGCGCGCCTAGTACAAAATGACCAGATAGCCTATTTTATGGAGGTTTTATGAGCGGGACGCCTGTGTTTCAAGCCGTTGTCAAAGTATCACACTAAAGCAGAAATATAGTTAAGAAAATATATCGGATTTTAGTGGATTTATTTTCGAACAAGATTAAATTATATGTAGTCGATGCTACATATATCCAGTAGCCTAAATGTTACCAAAAGCGCTCTATTGGAGACCGGGGGAGTGTTAAGAGTGATAGTTGTTTCCGTTTTGTTTTTGTGCTATATGGGTCCCAAATTCTTATGTAATATTCTCATATTTGCTTGCTACAAGTTCAAGTAGTTTAGAAATCCACTGCTTATTTCTAAACGGTGTAAGACAACGTCAAGCAGCTATACGAATGGTGCTGTTGTTGAAAACTACCGCACTAGCAGGGTTGGTTGTAAACACGAATTGAAAAAATGTGCATTTAAATTTTGTGCATTACTTTATATTGTGGTAACCAGATTTACTTTATTTTTGATGTCCTCCCCATCAACATAATATAAGATGTAAAAAGGGATAGTTCACCCAAAAATGAAAACAGTCACAAAATTCACATGTAGTTTCAAATATGTATGATTCACTTTCTATCGTGGAACATAAAAATATATATATATTGAAAAAAGCCTTTTTGTCCATACAAAAAATATCAAAGGGGTTTTCACATTTTCATTGTACAGACAAAAACAGTTTCAAAATATACTATTTTGTGTTCCACAAAAGCAAGTCAGTCATAAAGGAATGACATGAGGGTGAATAAAATAACATTTCATTTTGGTGTGAATAAAGTAGTAAACAAACATGGAAATACATAAATTCCATGCTACAGTCTGTGTATGTATTAGCCAACAGCTCTGTCTAATGTAGTATATACACTATTAATACACCATATATATGAATATTAATTATAAAGCTTGATGTTATATATCACATTAAAAATAAGAATCTAATTCTAGTACCAGTTCTGCCCATTATTATCTATTAAAATCCATTAACATTTATAAGTAGTACATGAAATTTCACTTTTTAATCCTGTGTTACAACACTCCCCATTCTGCCCTAAATCTTTTACTGTACATCAGTAAAAACTTAACAGGATAAGGATATTTTCATACCATCTTACGATTAGGCTCAAAACTTAAATTCTCTCCCAATAACAAAGTGAAAATAAAACAAAAACTAACATTGGCTGGTGTAAATTAGTGCGAAGCACCTTGTACAAAGCACGTTCAGTGAGTTTATGATGATGATGATGATGATGGTAATAATGATGATGATGATGATGGTTAATTGCAGTAGACTGTGCCTGTTGAAGGTGGCTGGATTTCTGTGAGGTACACGTATCCCAGGCTGCAGCGAGAGAGGGCCGTGGCCGATGCGGGTGCAAGGGGTGTAATATGTTTAACTATGGTAAAGTAGTGTTTTGAGAATTGGTAATTGCTCACATCCTTCTCTGGCCACGGGGACACTGTCCAGATCTCACCGTATACACGTGTGGGGTTTCTGAGGTGCACGCTTTCAGGTCTGCATGGCATGCGGCCAAACGCGTCTCTAGCTTGTTTCCTGGCATGAAATGTTGACTGACTGATAAGAAAAACAGTAGCACAGAATAATAACACAATCATGAATTGGCTGATGACCCGGTTATGCTTTTAAGCAACCGCAGTGCTTTCATGTTCACAGCCGTCTCACCGCCTGCTCGAGCCCGAGGCCCGACGATCGGACCCGACTTCACACTAGCGCTCTTTGCATAAAAGAAAGTGTCTAGAGTCATAATATTTACTTTGATAATGTTTTCACGACATGGCAACTCCGAAGCGGGGATATATGTATAACTGTCTAAATATGACAGTCCATGTGATTTGGAATGTGCAATGAATAAGGCTCCTTTTACCCTCTCTCTAGAATTTGCTCTGAATAAACAAGAGACTCGGGTCAGGTCCTCCGATGTGTGATCTACTTTGTAGGCCGGTGGTTAAGCTTGACATGCTTGGCCCTTAAAATATACCCTTTTTGTTAGAGGGAAACGGACAGAAAAATATACAGAATTCTCTGTAATTACAT